AGAACACCTGCATTCGTTAGGAAGAGGGATCTCATGGTCTGGGTTGAAAGACAGGAAAAACATTAAAGTCAAACTTAGAAGTGACTGTTGTTTTTTTTTTTAAAGAGTCACACTGAATACACAGATTGGCAGGTAAATATTAAAGAGCTCGTTTATTTCCATATTTATTACTTCCGAGGACAGTCTATCGGTTGTTGTACTATAAATTGTGTTTAAATCTGAAAAATAGTTTTTTTAGCACATTACAGCTGTTTTTATTTTTTAAAGCATCAAACGATAGTAGGTTGTAACCGGTGCCACAGCAGGCAGGGGACTCTGAGCAGCCCCCCAGCTGTGAGGGTGTCCACGCTGAAAGTGCCTCTTCTAGGGTTTGGGCTGCCATTGTGGCTCTCGTATTTCCTCCTATAAAAAAACTTTAGCTTTTCACTTCTGCTGAAACTTATGGTTCCGAGGAGACACCATCACTTTTTAAGCTTATGTTCCACCCTCATCCCACCCTGACTCTTCCATAATTCTAGTGAGATTTCAGATTGCAGATATTCAGTTAAATTTAGTCAATTAAATTACTTAATGCTACAGAAAACACCTGATAAGCTGGGCTATTTGTGCAAAGCTGGAGCATTAAGCCTAGGCATTTAAGTTACTCTCCACAAGTTAGCAGACCTCAGAAAGAATAATGTAACCAGGAGTCAAAAATTTGTGTTAGAACTAAGAGTGATTAAGACTTTAAACTTTTGACGTTGCTTGTGGTAAGGATCTAAAGAGTTCCAGTTTCAATGACAGTAAAATCTTGCCTTTGAAAACATGCCAATGCTTTCCTTTTAAGGTATTTTATACACTGACTACAATAATGACACTCTAAACTCTGTGAGAGAATAAGGAGCAGATGCCATTTGAAAGAGAAAGATTAAGTCATAGCTGAAGAAACGGAAGGCTTTGTGCCACCTTTTAAATAGGCAGTCTCCTGTTGACTTCTGAGGATGTCAATTTTCAACCTGCTAATTTGATGGTTTGTAACCCCAGCTAAGTGAGAAGGCAGAATGACCTCTTCTGTTTTCCACAGGCTGCAAGGCAGTGCCTTTGAAACTTGGAACTAGGGTTTTGCAATTTTGATAGGCTGTTTATAAATAGAAGAGTGATTGTGTTCCCCACTGTTGTTTCAAAGGTTTCCTGAAATGTTTCCTGGGTTATGCATGAGTCAACCTCCCTTTGAAATTGTCTGGTAGGAGACTGCTGGTATAAATTTAGCATCATTTATACAGGTCTCACACTGAAGAAGCAATTAGCTGAAAAATCTCTTTTTCATTAGATTCGGTTATTCTAGCTGGGTCCAGATTTAATTCATATATTTCAAAAAAGGGCAGAGGAAAGAAGGAGGATACAGGATGTGTGATTAATTTAGAAAAAAAGAAGTATCCTTTTAGCTGCAGTTTGCATATAGTTAGACAAGAATTGATGTCACACTTCCTAATATCACTTTATAAAGTCACAAATCAAAAGGATTATAACAAGACTTAATTACTTCATGCCGCTCTTCATCATCATAATTCTTAGGGATTCTAGTGCCCCGATCCCTTTTAACCATCTAGGACATTTCCTCTAATGTAGTAGGTGTTCAATAAATATTTGTTGGAAGAAAGAATTGTTACTTAATAAATTCTAGATATCACAAAAAAGGGTTATAAACTTGTACAACCATATCAGAAGTGTAATCAAAGAACAAGTGATATATCAAAAAAATCATATTTTTCTGTTTAATGATAACCAAACAGAATTTTGTTCAGAAGCCATCTGAATGTAAAATTCTGAAGAACATGATCACTTATAATTTCTTTGCTTCTTGATTAATTTGTAACTCATAGTTGTTTATTGCCGAGTTATATATAATTGTGAAGATTTTATCATCTAATAAAGATTAATTCCACGCTTTATACGTGGCTGGCACAATATGAAAAATACAGTTTCATCACAAAGAAAAAAATTACCTTTCAAAATGTAACTATATTATTCAACTAACCAAAAAACAGGAGACAAACAGGTTTCACTTATGTCTTAATAATCAGTGTTCAAGAGGTAGAGGGGGTGATCTTAAGTAAATCTCTTTCATTGACTTCTTTTTCCCAAAGGAAACTTAGAATGACAAAGGAAACGCAGGCTGCTCCAGCCTCTTGACTTGCAAATCAATTTAGCCAGGATTCTAACTGGGAATTAAGCTCCAATAAAAGGTAGAGGGCTGGTGCTAAAACAACAGGGACCAAAGCAGGAAGCTTTGCCATTGATAGTGAATAACTAAAGAGCTGTGTGTCAAAAAAGACCATAATTTGGTTAGATATACTATGTGGGCAATGCAAGAGCAGCAGGTCAGGTTATTGTTTCTTGGCATAAAGATCTTCAGTGTCCCAACTGGCTGCATCTAGCTTGATCCCCATTTTAAAAAGCTTAGAAAAACTGTAGTGCTTTCCTGGCATGTGGGGAGTATTTGTTGAATAGAAGGGCTGTTAATGGGGAAAAAAAGTCAGATGGAACACTGTGCTTTCCCTGCTTTTCTGGGAAAGGAAGTAGCAATGAAACGATTCTACCATTAGTATTATTTGCAACTTTGACCCAATATTTTCAAAGTATGGCTTTAAAAATTACACTCTTTTCTAGACCACATTTTTAGGTCATAAAATCCAACCAGATACTAGGGTAGGAAAAATTCAGTACTTATTATTGGCCATTGGATAAAAATCTGTCATTCTCCAGTGAGAGGTATACATCTATTTGTGTGCGTGCGTGCATGTGTGTGTGTGTGTGTGTGTGTAGTATATGGGCATGTTTTAATAGGTAATCTGTGTATGCAAATTGTGGGAGATGTTTATGGGTTAGGCTATGTATGTGAAACTTTGGAATGGAAGCTGTCTTGGTTGGAAGGTTAATCTTTCTGTGTAGCACTGACTTTTATCCCCAGTTGGACAGATAGGGACATAAGCTCTGGGTTTTTTGTTTGTCTGTTTGTTTGCCTGTTTCTAAATTAAGCATCCTTTAGGAAATGAAGCTACAAAACAGAGACCAGCCAAACATAAACAAGTAGGCGTCAGCCTTCTTTGGAAAATGAAGCTGAGCTGAATTAAATATTTATCCTTTTAGAAATTGGATTGACATTCTACCTGTCAACTCTGCCCCGACCAGAGTCACCTCTTCCCCGCTCTGCCATGCTCTGTGTCCCAAGAATAAGCTACGAGCTTCACTTGTAAATACTTCAAGTGTTTATAACGGTCCAGCAAATATGGCACACATGATTCTTTCACGTACTTGAATAAAGAACAATAGCCTTTTACCATTTTCTCTTTGGGCCTGTGCTCTTTAGATTGTATTGGTAGGGGGAAAATTTTTGGAGATCAAGCACTGAACACTGTAACTTTGTAGACAACACCGGATATACTGCTGAGATTCGAGCAAAACCCCAATCTGATTAGCCCAAAGGGCTTATCTTTCAAAAGGAATATCTCTGCCCTCATTACCACTACCTCCATAAGGACAAACCCAAAGAACCTTTAATGTTCATGGTAATGGTTATAAATTTGGCCCAGTGGCGGTGGGGTAGAGAAGGGGCAGGAACACACTGCACAGTGGGAAAGCTGCCAAGAAAACACATTTTCCCCAAGTCAAGTTCTAGTAGAAACTTTTCAATTGGAGGACTTTCTTTAGGTCAATCCTTTCTAAGTTCAGTTAAATAAAATAGTGTTTTTTAAGGAACTGAAATCTATGATATATTTATATCCATATTTCTAAACATCCAAGTTTTAACAACATAAAAAGTAGCAATGCAGTCACTGAATAGCAAGGCATGTCCACATTTCAAAGAGGCATAAAATGTGAAATGATATAACAACAGGTTAAAAATATGAAACAAATTTAGCATAGTCATATTATATTAAAAAAAGAAGATAAAACACACTATTTAGTTACCTAAATTAATTTACAAGAACACGGGAACTTAGAAAGTCCTCCGACAAACCAAGTGCAGATAATCTAAAGGTGGGGAGTGCATGTTTTGTTTCTATCTGTCCCCTTTAACAAGAGAACGTGAGGTAATTAGAAAGTGTTCAATGCATTCTAGACTGTTCTGCTAAATGTCCCAGGCAAGATAAATCAAAATGCTTCAGAAAAGTAAGGCCTAGTTGAGTATTTGGGTAGAGGCCCCCCCTTCAATCAGCTAGTTACTAAATGGAAATCTCATTATACACTCGTTTTGTAGAGATGGGTTGATCACGCTGTAGAAAAGGCTGGTTGCTGAGACTATGTCTCTTCCAAGCTCCTCAGCCTCTTCTGCTTTTACCAAGTTAGGTCTTCAGAGTGGCGAAGGAAAACAGGTCATTTTTCCTTCATAAAGTATCACTGAATGATTCCTCTGTATTAATTATATGAACCTTATAATAGTTACAGATTAAAAAATTTTTTTAAAATTTTTCATCTCAAAGAATTCTCAGTCCCCACCCCTCACAAGTTACCATGAAGGGGCACTAAAGTGCATTTTGATACAGGGGAGTAGAGTTTAAAGGTGCTGTCCAAGCTAAGAACCAAGATGATGCTGTTTAAAAAAGAAAGGCAGTTCCTTGTACCTCCATCTCTGGAGTCAACTGAAGGAGGGCAATGAACTAGACCCTCACCAAAGGATTGTCCTAACTCTTAACTTTAGAGAAAACTGTGTAAGGACCTGCACATATAGATTCATTTATTTGTCCAAAATAGCAAAAATAGGCCTATTTCACCCTTAAGAAAGTATTTGCAAATCTGATCAGTTATGATCATAAAAACATGATTGGATTCCAGATGCAATCCACGGGGGCATGCTCGGTGGTCCTAACTATGCATCTTCAGCTTAAAAGAACATGCTGCTGTTCATTTTCATCAAAACATGACCTCTAACTACCATAAATAAAATACACATGGAACGATTAAATCTTTTTCTTACAATAGTTACTTTTACATTAAAAAGTCACCATCATCTTCAGATAATATCGAAAAGTAGGACTCTAAATCTTATGATTTCCCAGTCTTAGTTAACAATTTTGCACAGGCCCGATAATCCAAAACTTGGAGTTCTGATCTACACAACTTGGCAGGTTTCACACAGTTTGACAGGTAGGCAATTGTGAGATATGCTTTTTTAAAATTAGCATTTTCTATCAAAACAGTCTGAAATCTTTTAAAATCCTCATAGAGACTGTATTTGTGCAATGCCACAGACATGTAGCTAGAAAGGAGAAAACAAAATACAGTCTGGAAGATTCATCACAGTCCAAGTTTTCTTGGTCCTCAGTTTAAACAACCATGAGCCCAGGAAATCCAATTAAATACAGTGCTTTAAATAGAAGAGTTGGTCCTAGAATAACTTAAGCTACTAGACAGGGACAGTCTCGACCACGGGCGATTTGATGCACTCTTCGTGCAATCTGCTCTTTTCTGCAAGGCTCAAAGAATTTTCAGCAGAATGCTCTGAAATGTGACTGTCACCATGCAATGTAGAGACAAACCCCTCCTGGGAGGGGCCTTTCAAGTATGAGTGAAATTCCATTTGAGGATGATTGGACCTGTGTTCGGGATACAAGCTATTGCAGGGCACACCACTGTCAGTTTCTGAAGAGGAGCAGCAAACGATGACAGAGGGGTTGGCAGCTGGGTAATGGGAGGTGCCATAGGCCTCCTCTGCTTGTCTGGCATAGTCAACAAATTGCTCCGGGGTCATGGTGTAAGGCACCAGCGAGAGGGTACCATTTTTGACAGTCTCTCTTTCAGCATAATTCTCAGAGATCTGGCTTGGAGTTCCTGGAATGTGGCTATCTATTTGGTAATACAGAGTTGAAGAGTTGGCATAGAAAGAAGCATTTTTTGTGTGGCTTTCGTGAACGGCGGTGCCATCAGAATAACAAAGGACAGAAGGAAGAGGGACAACTTCGGCATGGGTGCCCAAGCCTTCCACAAAACTGTCCCCTTTCTCATCGTCGTCCTCCTCCTCTTCCTCTTCCTCCTCTTCCTCCTCTTCCTCCTCATCTGACTCACTAGGTGCCAAGCTCTGTGTGCTGGAATCGGTGACTCCGCTGCAGAAGCTACTCCCATCCTCCTCCTCTTCCTCCTCCTCCTCTCCTTGGCAATCTAATTCCTCAGCAGATTGCAGGTGCAGCACTGCAGCCTGGGGGTCAGTTTCAATCTCAAAATTGTCTGTGATAGAATATTCTACAGAGTGAGCAACGGGGCCCATGGAACTACTGTGAGCACTTATCTCACCATGGCAGCCGTTCAGCGTGGGGATTTGCTGCTCTCGGTTTTTCTCCAGTTCAAGTTTCATTATTGTGTGCAAAAAGTGAGTCCGGACACGGATGGGATTAAATTCAATTCTACCTGCTGTGTTACTACATCCTTCTTTAGTGCAGCCACATGGGAAAGACATTCGATCCACCTTGGAAGGAAGGACAGAGATTAGCCCCATGGAACTCTTACAAACCAAATAAAAATCCAGTATCTTTCATCAACCCCTTTGAATCTGGGATTACTGAAATTCATTTTTCCCATTACAAATGATAATCAAACTGCAAATAGAAATGAACCAGAAAGTGCAGGCTTTAAAACAACCTAGTTTTAAAACCTATATTCCAAATAAAAGTGAGTTAACAGTAACATACTAAAAATATGGTGTATATTTTTAGTTTGTTGACCCCTCCTGTGCTTTCTTTACTTCTTCTTCCATTCTCTCTTTTTGTCCATTTCTTCATCTTGTTAACTTTGCCCGCTTTTTTTCAATGCTTCTGTCCTTTCCCCAAGTTCCCTCTCCTTCTGATGCATGCCAGCTCACATGCTCAATTTTAAGCAAACAAATGTACTGCTCTTATCTCCAGCTGCTATTTTAAATCTAAATTATATGACATTCCCCATACTATCCATCTCCTTTTTTCTTTGCTTATTATAAAATGAACATCTCTGTTCAAGGTGTTCAGATTGACACCACTCAGTATCGTGTAGCCTGGTAAGTCGCTCTCATTGTTTTTCCTTCTCATTCTTTTAGATCCTTGCACACGGTGCTTTACGTGCATCGCAGGTCTGCAACAGGTATGCACAGTCATGACTTTGACTGGTGGACTCATGCATTTAGGTCCTGGCTCCCTCTTTCCCCTCCCTGCTCCATTAGACTCCAAGCTTCTTGAGTAAAGGGCTGCTCATTTAATCAATATCTTAAAATTAATTGAGTGACTGTAGTCTCAGAGTAGTGGGTTTCAGCAAGTGTTGGACTGAACGTTTGACTCAAATGATATGTGGAACTCTGGGCAATCCTGGGATACTCATTCCTTCAATTAACCTGAATGCAGACCAGAGCACAGGCAATCGGAAAGAACTTGCCCTGTTGGCCATCTTATATTCAAATGCGGGGAATTTCCTGTGCTACAGAGGAGAAGGCTGACTCTCGCACAGTCATCCTGGACCCAATAAAAGTATTAGCAGCCGTCAGAACTAGAATTTATAGCTGTTTTCTTACTCATGAATCCTTTTTCTGTGAATCTACCTCAAACAGCAGCTCAGCTGATGAGAATTGTCCTCTTTTGCCTGCCCAAGGGGCTCCCCTTATTAAAAAAGCTGTTTCTACCTAAAATAATGTCACCTAAGTAATCATGGAGCCCCAGTGATATTATAGATGAATGGGGACCTGGAATCATCTAGTCCATGGCTTGGCAAACTTTTCTTGGTAGAGTCAGAGAATAAATATTTTATGGATTGTGAGTCATATGGTTTCTGTGGCAACTACCTGACTCTGCTGTAGAAGCATGAAAACAGTTGCAGACAACATGTACTTGTAAACAAACAAGCAAACAAAACATGGATATGCTTCCATAAAACTTTATTTACAAAAGATAGGTGACAGCCCAGATTTGCCCTATGAGTTAGACAGTTGGCCTACCCCCGATCTAGTTCAGCCCTTTCATTTCAGAGATGGGGAAACTGAGCCCAGAAAGTTGACCTGACTTGCCAATTTCACAGAGCTGGTAAAAATCAGACTCCAGAGGAGAACTCCGGTTTTCTCAGTCCCAGTCTAGTAAATTTCCCACTAGTCTATACCACCTCCAAATGACAAGCATTTTAAACCCCATGGATGGATCAGAAAATAGAAACTCAAGTACCAGGGTTGTCATGGTCTGCCTGCATATGCTAGCAAAAAGCCAGAAGAAGCTTGTATAATGAATGAATCCAGGAGGAAATAATGTCGATTGACTGAGCTGCAGCTTGGGTTGCATTTCACATTATATGTGATATGTATGAGCATATTTTGTATACCCATAAATGTCACTGAATGAGTATTTATCTTTTCTGGAATCATGTGTCTTGCCTTGCCCAAAGTTTTCTTCTACCTGTTGGAAATTTCGTTATAAGTAACATGACTGCATCTTTAAGGGGTGGTGTATTATCTCTTGTCTTTGGATTCCCTGAAATGCAAATCCTTACCTGACACTTGATGCCTGCTAGGCTGCAGGTGCATGTTTCTGGATCACAGAACACGCGGCAGTCACAGCCGCAGTCCTCTCGCGATAGGCGGATGGCTCGCAGCTCGTGCTTTTCTTCCACATCAATCTTTTTCACTCCAGAGGCCCGCAGCAGTGCCCTCCGTTTTTTCGTTGGCAGGGGTTGTAGGAAGAAGTACTCATCTACCTCTGTGTTGTCTAAATCAATATCATCATCAGAAATGTCATCCACTGTAAGAGTGCCAGCTTCTTCAGATTCCACTGTGCCATTCTTGGTCATCTAGAAATACAAAGCAGCAAATAAGAGAATTTGCATGTGCAGGACCTAACATCCTTACTTTTATATTTGATAAGAATAAAACTATTATATAACATCATGTCTCCATAATCAATATATGCCCGTGGGTCACATCATTTCTATTTATTTTTCTCTTTAAAAAAGTCACAGGGAGGAAAATGAAGGCATCAAAATGATAGGCTTTTAAATGCATGGGTAACAGAAGACTATTAATTGGATCTCTTAGCCTCCTAATGTTAGAGCTAGAGTTGTTAGAGGTTTCAGCCAGTGCAATGTGAAAAAGACCAAAGGTTACAGATGCCCATCAGTGGAAGCTATTTTTAGACTTAGTTCGTGATGAGCAGCTCTGATGTTGGAATAAATGTGTCCTTGTTCAGAGTTGATAGCATCTTAGTGGGAGCCCTTGCCACCTAAATCAGCAAACACATTGTCTTTGAAATAACCACCCTGCCTTTTTGTATCCAGCAAAAGCATGTACTAGGGTATAAAGTTGTGCTGCATTGTGCTATTGGGATTACAAACACGGTTACCCTACAGAACATTGCAAACATGAGGGCCTGATATGAAGCAATCAGTCAGGTCAGTGTGCTCTCAGTAAGACAAGGAGCAGAGGGCTGTGCTGGGAGGATCTTGCCAGTGGGCCAATGAAACAATCAACTCAGCCCTCAAAGGAGTTCACATGAACTCGTGCCCAAAGCAATACCTTCCTCATTATAGCTCATGTGGACAAATATTTCTCATACACCCATAACTATTCTGCTTCTATTTATATTTCTTTTCTAAATTAATTTCATCCATCAATAAACCTTGAATTATCATTTCACTGCTTAGTAAACCCTGAACCAGTATTTTACTTCTTACTGTTACACCGCAACATATTGCTTCCTTCATAAAAAAGCACTTAGAAACAGATTCTTTTTCTGAATAAGAGCAAGAAATGTATTCTGAGGAGCCATACAGGATTAACTGCAAAAACTCTGTAAGGGATCATTAAAAAAAGGTTCTAAATACAGAAGCTTTTTTGATTCCTTAATTTTAAAATTGATTCATAAATGTCATTAATTGTAATTAGTACCATGCTTTTGATCTTAACAATGGCTCAGTCATCCCACAGTTAAAATAGTCTGGTGATATCAGACATAATTCTCTAAACTGCATAGGAAAGGTTCAACATTTAGATAAGAATATTAGTTATTGATCCGAAATCCCAAACTGGATTACTCTGAATGGACTGAAGAACAAATAGAAGACTGTTCCTTGCCCTCAAGTAGAGGAAACAACACAGTAGCAAGTGTATATTAAAATATATTCTAAAAGGTCCCTGAGATGTATTTTCAAAAGCTACTGAATTGTATTTTTTGAATATTTCAGAGCTTAAATCTCTATGATTACAAAGGTGTGCACTCCCCTTTATTAGGTTTTGTTTCTTGGTGCCATCCGCAATTTATTTCCTTCCTTGGCATTTTTTTAAAGAGGAATTGGTTAAGCTGTCCTCATGTTTCCAGGATGTCCACTATTAGGATGTTACTTTGATTGGTTGCTGTTACCATTTGTGTTCATTCTTATTTGTAAACAGAAGCATCTTTCCATCTGTAAAGATCTGATTTGCTAAGAAATTCAAGTGTGTAATTGCCTAATACCTACTCAATTCTCTGTGATAGGAAAAGCTGCATTAACAAATTGGAAGTTACCATTCCCATCTTGTCACCTCTGGCATTTAGATTTGTGTTCATTTATTCTTGGCTTGCGTAGGTGAACCTCCCCAAGGTTCTGACTCCACAGCACATGTAGACCAGCCCCACCTTAGTTAGCATGATTCATTTTGATATGTCCTTCCTACTAAATCTCCATGCTCTATAATATTTATATTCCCTTTTGTAACTGGTACCATCACAAAACAACTTCATTTTACATCAACAGGGTTTGATTTAAAAACAAAATGGTTGCTGTCAGACTATACATGAAATCTAAAAGTCAACAATAACAAAAACCCACAAGATTTTAGCACACATTTAAAAACATAAAAATTTTTACGGTATCATGAACAATGAACTAGAACGTAAGAATTTTTTTTAAATTATATCTCACATAAACTATACATGGTTCTTGTTCCAAATACAAGTGTCTTTTGAAATAAAATCTACATTTCTTATTTTCACATACTTAAATTACAACAACGTCCATCGCGTTCTCTAGATCTGGTGCAAAGAAACTAGGAGTCTTCAGAGGTTGCTTCATCTACTTTTGCTGGCTCCTTCACTTCCTGACCCATCTTCATAAGAATATTCATTTTTTACATTTTTCTCCTTTTCCCTCCAACTTTATTGAAATATAACTGACATATAACATTGTGTAAGTTTAAGGTGTAGAATGCGTTGATTTAATACATATATATTGCATACAATTAGCGCTAGAGCAAAACATCCCATAGTTGTGTGTGTGTGTGTGTGTGTGTGTGTGTGTGTGTGTGTGTGGTGAGGTTGTGAGAAGAGTTAAGACTTCTCTTAGCAACTTTAAAGTATATAACACTATAATCGCCCTGCTGTAACTTAGATCTCTGGAACTAATTCTAGCCCCTAGTAACCACCATTTTACCATCCATTCCTACAAGTTCTGCTTTTGGATGCCTCATATGAGATCACATGGTGTTTATCTTTTTCTGTCTGACATATTTTATTAGCATAATATCCTCAAGGTCTATCCATGTTGCAAATGGTGGGATAGCCTTCCTTCTCATGGCTGAATAACATTTCATTATGTGTAACGTAATTTTTCTTCTGACATGTGTGGTGCCTTTCAATGTCTTTACCCTATCTCAAAATAGATTCATTGAATTTTCAGACTTTTGCGCATCAGACGCAGCCTCCTTATCTTATGCATTAATGGGGATCAGATTAATTGTGACCTCCTCAAAACATGCTTAGAGAACATAATTCCTTGACCCCCATTTTCGTATGCTTTTCCCTGTGTCTCACAGATAGATTCCAAGTTTCTGACAGTACCTAATGTAGTGCTGGGGACTCGAAGGTGAAATCCAACACAATATGTCTAAAAACCTTTTCTGTTTATAAAATAAAAGCATACAGAGTAACCAGCACATTCAAAGGAATGCTCTCTTTTGAGACAGCTCTCTTGGAAGGCAACCTGGCACTTGGACCATTTCTAGTTCAGTACTCTTTCCTCCAAATAATGTTGCCTTCCTAATAGCTCAAAGAAAGCTTGCCAAAAAATGAGGTTTAAGGAGATGACCCAGTCATCCTGGCCCTCAAACCTTTTATTCCTGTGTACATATGCTTGGGAAAAAAGAGAGCTTCGAGGTGGGGGTGATAGAGAGGTGGGAAAAACAGATGGGACACAAAAAAATATTAATAACAGTTTTGGAATCTGTGTGCTAGACACTGTTCTGAAGACTTTACCGGCATTAACTCATTTCACATCACAATAATCTCATGAGAAGCATATTATCATTATGTCCATTTAACTGATGAGGATACCGAAGCTTAGGAATGCTAAGTAACTTGCCTAAGATTGCAAGCAGTGAGGATATGCACTATGTCACAACCTAGATATCTGACTCTAAACTTGTGCCCTTCACTGTCATTAAAATTACATACATACACTGTTTTGCTATATTTAATACATATGAATAGTCTGTTATGTTTACATTTTATTAGGTATTAGGTATATCAGTACACAAGACACAAGCTTGATTTCAAGGAACTGGAGTAAAGAGATAAGAAGTCAAGTGATTTCAACCCAGTTCAAAAGGATTTCCTAGCTGATGGTAAACACAGGGCATTTGAAAATATGTAGAAGGGGTACCTAAAGATGAGGTTGGTGGTGGGGTGAGGAGGAAAGACATTCACATCTACGCTTAACTCTGAAAATGGAGTAGCAGTAAGATGAACTAGTGGAGGTAGAAGGCATTCCACATTGAGCAATGATCATTTCAAAGGCCTCAGGCGAGTTACAGCATGAGGCATTTGTTGGCCTCCAGTTTATCCAGATGTCTGGACTTGTATGGGATACCTTCCTCTCTTGGTCCATAAGCAAAGAATAAAAAGCATATAAAGAGCAGACCTTCAGAGAGTACTTTGTCTATTTTATGTCTTAGCCATCTTATAGGTGATAATAACAATTCATGATTTAATTCAACAATCTCTGTCATATTATGTACTTATCCTATATAGGTGTACATTTATTTTTATTGTATGGGAAGGCTATCAAGGTAAAGGGCTCTGGTTTGTGTGTGTGTGCGTGCGCTTATTTTGTTTAATGATGATCCTTAACATGGGACTGTGTAAATTCATCCAGACTCACTCTACAAAAGAAAAAACTGTAACTTTTTTAAACAGATAGAATGGAAACATTAATTTTGCAAATCTGTCTGACATGTGCTGATAAGTATTAGTAAACAGTTCCCAAAGTCCCAAAAAGTAAAGTCTTTGTACATCTAAATACACTTGAGGGATGGGCCACATTACTGTCAGAGTCAGTGAAGTGATTCTGAAACTGTTCTGGGTCAAGTACAAGAGGAGCTCAAATGAAAATAAACTTTCAATCTTTTTTCTCTCATATCATACAGTGAGTGAATTCCACTATAAATTTCAAGGCAATGCTTTGATATCAGGTATTGTGCTCCCTCCAACTTTTTTCTTCTTTCTCAAGAGTAGTGAGGCTACTCAGGGTCTTTCTTGACTATTTACATATTTTTGGAATATTTGTTGTAGATCTGTGAAATATGCCATTGGTATTTTGATAGGAATTGATTTGAGTCTCTAGGTTACTTTGGGTAGTATGGACATTTTAGTGATGTTAATTCTTCCAATCCATGAACACAGTATATGTTTCAATTTTTTTTGTGTTTTCTTCAATTTTTTTCTGCAGTATTCTCTAGTTTTTCAAGTACAGGTCTTTTACCTCCTTGGTAACATTTATTTTTAGATATTTTAATTTTTTTTTTGTGTTGCCATAGTAAATGG